GACATTCAAATGTATATGTTGCAGTTAATTTTTTATCTTAGGTAATTTTTATTTTTCCATTGCTTTTTGGGCATGGTAATGTATGCTAATGAATTTAAAACAAAGGAAAAACAAAAATTAATTAAAATAAAAAATTAACTGCAACATACACATAATTTATGAAACAATAAATCAAGTTCCCTTGAAAACATCGCATGACTCACACTGGAAAAACAAAACACTCAAACTAAAGAGGTCTATTTTTTGACAAACATAAAAGTGTAGCCTTGTACTACTAGCAAGCCCAAATTTAAATGTTACAATAATACTATAGAAACTTTCCCTTAAATTAAGTTGCAGGATCATTATCATACATAGAAGAAGTTTAAAAACCTTTGGTGTGTGTGTCGTCATAGTATAAAGCAATGAAGATTTGTAAAATAATTATCTGAAATATGTAGTTTGTGTACATAGCCTTTGAAGCCCCATTAGAAGAATATATACAATTAAGAAAAAAGTCGTCCTGTTCTTTGAAACAATATTTTAAAAAGAAAAGAAAATCACATGCTCTGCTTGTTAAGGACTTAAAGTGGCTCAATGGAGATTTTTGGGGTTAATTTCTTACATCTTTGAGCATTAGCTACGTAGTAATTAACAAAGATTTGGAAAAGTTACTACCACAGCTGTATGAAAATTTGTTATGATCAGGGTTACAATGACATCAGAGTTGTCATAGCGACGAAATGACCCCATTATCTACTTTACTTCCAGCCGTATTTCTCGGCACTTTTCTTGGCGAAGTTTCAGTGAAATCTGTAAGAGCATTCGGGAGATATTTTGGGATGAAGTTTTAATTGTTGGAAATTTAGTGTAAAACTGGACAATCTCAGTGATATTTAGCCATTATCTATAGGAAACGAAGCGCTTTTGAAATGTAATTTTACCTTAAACTAGTTTCATTCACTCTTGCAACGTGTTTGAAAAGATCATGGGGCTAGCTTCAGCCGATCGCAAGAAAGAGGGATTTGAGTCACAAATTGAGGTCCCGTTTTTGTAAATATTATGGTCTACTTCACAGACTTCAACAAATGAACGAATAATTTGAAACCTCTAGGAAATTTTTGTTTAAAAAAATTAAGATTCTCGAGATTAACCCTTGTTTTATAGCACCTTTGAGCCAGTCAAGGTTATGCTTGTGGCATGGTCAATCTTTTTTTATTATAATTTCTTAATGGAATAGTTTCCTTTCCCTGTCCACACTGGGTTAGATCAGCAAATAGTTTGCAGAATAACACGAATCGACGTATCTTTCTCCACTACACTGATATCACTGGCTTGGTAGCAGCGTACGTAAGTACTTGCCCCTGACGACCTTGACCGCGTTGCTATAACTTCCATTGTTGACAGCATCTTGTAGGCTATTTCCTGGATTAGTACTTGCCCCGGGGCTATATACTCCTAGGAATTCTTGGTGGGTTTGTGCCGACATTTTGCTAAATCTCATGAGCTTACGCTTTCACATCCTGAAGCCCGCCGTTTTTCGAAAGTCCAGGTCCCGAAAGCTTGCTCGCAGGCTACAGATAATATGATTTAACCTGATCTAAATGTACTGGGTTTTTTAACTAGGACCTGCTGCTTGGTTTTACAGATATATCTCTTTTTTTTTATGAATTGTTGATGTCAAGTCACCGATACTTTAATTTCCAGTAGACGACCCCTGGCCTCTAAAATAATCCATTACTCGGTTTGCGAACCCCGGCATTGACTCCTGTCCAAGTCAAAATATTGCCGGTTTAGGCATTTTTTTTTCTATTATAATTAAACAGCATTGGGAGCTAAAAAGTCAAATGTGTTTAATTATGCCCTCAAGTTGTGGTTTCCTTAAAAACTATACCTGATTTTAGACCATAATGAGCAAATTCTTTACAAGTTTAAAGTTCAAAACGAGCTTTGAGGCAGCTCATGCCGATGTGGAGTTGACATAGCCCGTTGGGGGAGTATCTTTACAGGATGCTATTAAAAACGGAAGTTGTAGCAGCAGCGGTCAAGGTCTTACTTTAAGGCGTAAATGGGACCTTTTTAGCAGCATAGATCAGATTCCGATTCGTACGATTAGAAAACTATAAAAGAAATCAACTTATAAGATAAGCAGATAACGCCTCGGTCAGTCAAGTGCTACAACATCGCTAATACGGTATCGATCCCTAAAGAGGACAGAAATGTAAGTTTTTATACTTAACTTATAATAACACTTAGACTTTTGTTTGATTTTATTAATATTTCACTATGCAGCGCCGTAGCTAGTATGAGGCCAACCGAGGCACTCGCCTCGGTAAAATTTTGACGAATTTCGCCGATCATTTTTATTTTACATAAGCGATCATCTGATATTTTTAACGCATGATGATATTACAAAGAATTCAGCAATTCAGTCAATATACTATGAAAAAATTACCATATCATCGATCTCAAGGGGCTACGTACGTTAACTCAAATTTTTTTTGAACAAATACTGATCAAAACCATTGGCGAGGTTNTTTGCGTCAGCCACATGTAATTACTTCGAGTTTTGATTGGTTCAATGTATTGTCTGTGTCCTATGTGATTGGCCAGAGTAATTACTTTGGTTTTGGTTTTACGACACTCAAACGAAAACCACTCTAAACCCAGTTATGGAGATTTACGTACACCCATTTACAGGCGTTTTCTGCACCCATCGCCCCAAGAAGATCACGATTCCACGCTTCCACTTATACTACTTCGAGCCTCGGCCCACGCCGTTTCGATAAGCTTTCTCCACTCCCCCAAGTAAACAGTATATCTCGATGACTGGGGCTCTTGTCCAGTTGTGCCCTAAATCGCCTATACACTGTACACTGTGCCATGTGCCGGAGCCCCACAAAGGCAAGCTTTCAAACAACTTACATAAGCTTGCTTCTTTAGCACTGCACCGTCTTTGAGTCTACCCTAAAGGGTTTTGTTAGATAGGGGTGCGTCCTTCTGCGATCCAGGCCAATTTTAGGAGGAATTTGATTTTTGGCAAGAGAGCATGTTTCATCTTGTTCTTTCTGACCATGCCAACCAACCACATAATTTGACAAATGTAGTTTTTGCGACGGTCATCATTTCGATCCTTTAAACAGAGTTCCGAACGGGAAAACACTACAAAAGCCGAAAAAGGCGTTTGTTCACGTTGGCTAAAACTCACTTAGCCTGCGACCAAGCTCTCCATTTCGGAGAGTCGCGAGAAGGCACACGAGAGCAGCACCCGAAAGGAGACGGCTTTGCCGCTCGGTTGCGCGTTCTCTCGCGGCTTGCTTCGCTCGCCATACATGGAGCTAATGCGCTTATCAGCGGCCATCCCGGGGGGATGACCCCAGGGAGCCCCCGATCATTTGCGCAACGACGTTTACAAATCCCCCCTACCCAAACCAAGTTTGTTAAAGCTACTAACGCCCCTCCCCGGGGGGCAAAGAAGTGTGCTCTGCCAAGTCAAAGGGTGCGATATTTCAAGAGTTCTATTTGTCATGAATAATTTTCTATTTGCTATAATTATACATATAGAGAAGCCTATGATAGGCTCCTGACATATAGGAGTTAATTAAAAATAAGCAAAGAAAGCTATTCCACTATGATGAGGTTCTGCTTACCTTTTAAGTAATGTAATGAGGAAGGAGAATATTCTTGTTTCCTGGTAAGAATGAAGAGCTAGAATTCCTTGAATATATTTTGAAATGCTTTTTATTATAAATATTTATAGATATTATGTATTCCTTATATATCTTTTTTGTGTCTTTCGTTCTCCCCCCACCCCCCGCCCCCTCCACTTCTAGAATTGAAAAAGTAACAAAACAACTAAAAAATAACACGCCCCCTCCACTTCTAGAATTGAAAAAGTAACAAAACAACTAAAAAATAACAAAAAATAAAACATAAACAAAAATCGCCTGCTCGCAAGAGGAAACAAGACAAAAAAAATGAACGAAAACAAAAACAAAGAACAACAAAAAGTAAAACAAAAACAGAAAACCACTTTCACGTTGACTCGTTTATGGCTCTCTGCGACAAATGCGCAACGGAAACGAAAAATTTTGTTGGAACGTGAAAGAATTGTTTTGTCAAAAACATGACACGTGGAATGGACCAAAGAACGTGACGATTGTCACATTACCTTTTATTTTGAGCATCTTTCTCAAAGAAATTAAAAAAAATAGTTGTAATAAAAGAAAACCATTAATGAGATGCAAGAAAATATCATTCCTATCGCATTACATCTTTTTTTGTTGATTGAGAGTACTTAACTTCAAAAACCCGAGGGAAAATCCTGTCAGGTTGATAGGGCCCTGTTGACAAAAACCGATTTGAAAAACAATAGCCATTGTGATAGTTACCCAATCAGAAGCCGATGAAGTGTCACCGGCGCGCTTTTACCTCACGTGGTCGAACTACCTTCAGCGGGCCAGTAGCGCCATTTCAATGCAGTTGTTTGTATTGTAGAAGTTTCCTGCTTTCAGTGCAGTCGTTCGAACGGTCAAATTTTGTTGAGTTGAGTGCTGAAAGCGTTCTGCTGTGGGGCGAAGGCACTCTGTGAAGCTTTAAACTTAAATAAGCTGTTCTCTAACGACGCAGCTGCTCAAACTCCTGTGTACTTATGGTTGTCATCACTATCCGTTCGATTCGTACATGATATAGCGATATGAAATCATCATCGCAAACGACGGTAAGAAACTATTATCACGATTTTCTATCACATATTTTTTTCTCAGTTCGTTTTCGGTTCGGAAATATCAGCTCTTAAAAGTTTAACATATTAGTTTAGTGATGTATGTTTTGGATGAACTCCTGTCGCCTTGTAAATTCTAATTTTTTTTCATCCATTCGTTTATAAGCTTACATGCGATTAGCAAGACCTGCAGTTGGTAAACGGGTCCTTCATTTGACTTGTCACTCTCTTATGAATTAGCTGAAAATTGATTTCTGCATTTATATTTGCGCGTTTTTGACGTAATCTTCTTGGGAAATGATCAATTGCGAAATTGACAAAGGTACGAAATTCTAAGATTTCGTTTCATTAATGTGTAAGTCCTGTCTTCAAATATCTTATCTTTCTTTTTCTCTAGAACATTGACAAAATGGGCAAAACCCGATGCTTGACGGCTGCTGGGCGTTTATCGTTCCAAAACGATGCTCATATCCGAAAAGTGCTGGAAGCCCTCAACGAGCAACGGGAAAGCGAGCGCTTCTGTGATGCAGTTGTGAAAGTTGGTGGCAGGGAGATGAAATGTCATCGCTCTATTTTGGCCGCTGCAATTCCTAAACTGCTAGAAAATCAAAGCGAGACAGAGGAGACCGTTTTAACAGTGGCCCTGGAAGGTTTGGATTCTACTGCAGTGGAAGTATTGATCGAGTTCGCGTACACCGCTCAGCTAAACGTGTCTGCGGAAACTGTTCTCGGCGTTTATCACGCATCGAAATTTCTAGGCATGAAAGACGTTCAAGACTCTTGCGAGCAGTTTATTGAAGAGAAAATTCTTCCCTTAGATTGGAGGACTGTGAGAAGCTTCGCCGAGCAACAAAGATGCGCTAATTTGCTGACCGCAGTCGATAAATTCATCGAAAAACACGTGGAGGAAATTTATCACAACAAAGATTTCTTCCAGTTGCCGCGTCTTCAAGTCGAACTCGCCACCACTCGAAAGAGACAGAACGAGAGCATCGATTCCGAGAAGCTCTGTAATGTCGCCATAAAGTGGGCTCATAAACAACTGGAGGTGAGGAACTTAAAAAAGCCATAGTTTAGTAGTTGATTATTTTTCTTGCACCTCCATGTTACGGGATATACGACCGCAGAAAATAAGCCCCCACAGCGCGCGCGCACTTTTGAAATTTTGAGTTATCGTTTAAACAGACTTTCCCATATTTCGATAGGTTTGAAATTTTAAGTTTTAAAGTTTTTTTTGCGGGGGTTTCAAGTTCGCTTTTTAAAGTCAGAACAGTAAATAATACTTATATGTGGTGCATTCTATGAGAGTTTCACGGGAAAGCGTTTTTTTCCGCGCGGGAAGTTTAGTGATATCAGACTTTCTATATTACATACCGGAAGCAAACAGGGTGCACAAAATACGTGACTCGATTTTCGTTCCTTTACTCGAACGAAGTGAAACCTCATTTTTTTACAAATATTCAGCAAGTTGGATTATCTTCTGTCATTAGTTAGACGACCTATTGTTTTCTGCAAACAATTAGATTGTTGAAGTTTTGTACTTGTCTTTCATTTTTCTGTGGTAAACAACGTGAATAATTTTCAGAAAGTGCTCCTACACAACTAATTTTTGTAACCAGTGCATTTTTTAGTTTAGGTGTATTATTCCCTTTCCTTTGAACCTTTTTCATGACGCTTAGAATGCCCTGACAACTAATTTACATCATAGCAAGACATTGTGATGGAAAGCAATATGTCATAGTTCGTGAAAATTGTCTTTCCAGTCTGTTTAATATTTATGTCACTTTTCACTATTTCATTGACTTGTATCATAATTTGAAACCTTCCATGGCTAATTATGGACCATTTCACCTACAAATACAAAGTAGCAATTCAAATGTTTTATTCGAATAAAACATAAACCCCTATCTTTCAAATGTGAGAAAGTTCTTAAAATGTTTGCTCCATGTTTACGTAAATCCAACTGGTCAACATACGATACCTACATGGTGGACTCGAAAATATTCTCTACCTTACCCCATCTCACATTGTACAATGTTTTTGTTTTCTGGTGAGAACTCAGTGGACCCGACATCTAATTAGTGTGTCCTTGTGACAGATAAGTAATTGGAATAATTTTTATCAGCTTCATTTTCACCTCTGTCATCTTGTTAATAAAGGTAGCCTTCTTCGTAGTAAATTATGTAAATGATTCCATTTGTTTCAAAACTGTTCTTTTCTTAGCTGCACTCCATAAAACGGAAACATTTTAAGGTTAACAGTTATGTCTGGGCCCTTTCAATGTATTTTTTTTATAACAAGCAGGAAAAATGTTATTATCTGTCATTCTTGAGACATTCCTGATGAGGTACTCTATACTAGAGGAATTGCTATTTAAATAAATTATTATTTTTATTTGGTTACTTTTACAGGAAGGGGATATAAGCTTAACAGTGTTACTGGAAAAAACCCACATCATGTTCCTCACTTCCGACGGTGAGCTGAAAGAGTGTACCATGGAAGATCTTTACTCAAATGATGAAAAGTCTGAACTAATCACAACAGAAGCTCAGAGGGAGTACATCCGATATACGTGTACTTCACAGGAACAGCTGTCCAAACATGAGGCAAACAGCAGTGAAGACGAGGAGGAATTGATAGTTCTTCTTGAAAACAATAATAACAAGAAGAGGCAGTCTTGGATAGTGGAGAAGGATTTCCGTTTGATTGGTGCTGTCCAGACTAGTGACAATGGCTGTACGGGATTGGCAGTTGTCGGAGGATTGTTGGTGGCGATATCAATACATTCACAAACCCAGTACTGCTCCAATAGCTCAGACTCTGGCGACTCGTCATCTGGAGAAGAGTGGGTTCTGATAGCCCCAATGAACAGAGGTGTGTACAAGCTTCTAATTGCAAGAGTTTCCCTGGGTAATGTATATGCATTATTGACCAAGTGTGAGGTCAAGATGCTGGATATTGGACAAGTTCTTTGTATTCGGCCATCTTGACCGAACAAGCTAGGTCAATAAAGGATTTATTATATGGCCAAAAAGAGAACTTTTACTCTGTAGGTTACATACAAATTGCGTGATTTTTAAGTTCAATGTCAAACTGCTTTTGAGTGTCGTCATTTTCTTCACAACAATGTATAATAATTTTTAAGATTTGGATTTTGTGATTTCGGGACTGATCAAGGTCTCAGTAAGTGTTGTCAGCTCCAAGCAAATCACTTTCCTTGACCTTGTTTATTCTGGACTTCTCAAGAACCTCATCCAGTAGTTGTTTAATCACACCATAGGACTCAAAAGTGAGAACTACATACAGAACAAGTAGTACCATGTCAAAGGCTTCCTGAAACGTTAATAGCCAAACCATGCATGCAGGATTTCAGCTACAACACCAAATGTTAGAATTGTCTCAAGTTTCTCTATAGATGACACTGCAATAGAAAAAAAAAAATGTTTCAGACTCAGCTGTACCTGTTCATGTGGTCTGTATTGATCCTATGACTGGCCACTTTGAAAAGCCTAAGGTCACCAAACATTGTAGACCCTTTAACTCCTGAGAGTGATCAACATCAATTTTCTCCTTACAAAATTGATACATAATCAAGATAAAAGGTGATGGGAACTAATAAAATGGTCATCTAAGGGAAAATGATTCACTCTTTTATCAAATTCTCTCAACTCATTCTTTAGCAAAACATATGGAGATCAGTCTGGAGAATTTGTATGTGGATCTTAGAGCTTAAAAAAATAAGAGCTGTCTTTTTTCTCTGACATTTCCAGGTCGCTGTAGCGTGGGAGCAGTCAATCTCAATGGAAAACTGTATGCAATTGGTGGCTATGACCGAGGTGACTGCCTGAACACCGTGGAACTGTATGATGCACAGGTCAACGAGTGGATGCCTGTCACCAACTTGAATTCTTCCAGAGGAAGGCTGGAGTCTGAAGTGGTAAACGGCAAGGTGTATGCCATTGGTGGCTCAAATGGACACACGGAACTCAGTACAGTCGAAACATATGATGAAACTACAAACACCTGGACTTTTGCACCATCCATGCTGCAGTGCCGTTGCAACTTTGGAACTGGGGTGATCAATGGACGCATCTATGCTGTTGGGGGCTATGAAGGTCCCAGGAACCTGAAAAGTGTTGAAATGTATGATCCTGTGACAAAAGAGTGGAGGAGAGTTGCACCCATGAACACTGAAAGAAACAACTTGTGCGTGGAAGCTTTGGATGGCAAGCTATATGCTGTTGGGGGCTACAATGGATGGACATGTTTCAATACTGTGGAATGCTATGACCCTGAAGAAAATCATTGGTCTTTGATTCCACCAATGAAGATTGCCCGCCGCGGTGCTGGTGCTGCAGTCCTTCACGGCAAGTTGTATGTGATTGGTGGTTATGATGGGACAAACTTCCTTAACAGTGTTGAGTGCTATGACCCCTCCACAAATGAATGGAAACATGTGGCCAGTCTTAATACCTCTCGTCACAATGTAACGGCAGTTGTCATCGGTGACCACATTTACGCAGTGGGTGGGTTTGGTGGCTCTTCATTCTTGAACTCCCTTGAATGCTATGACCCCAAGAGTGACAAGTGGTACTGTTTTGTAAATTGCAAACATTAAAGAAACTATTGGGAACCTTTCATGTACATTTAGAGTGATCGTGGTGCCATTCAGATTTTTCTTTTTAAGAACAGCAGCTCTGTTGTTGGCTGTTTTGTGAAAGAGTGCCATAAATGGTAATGATGATTATTTATGTTATTTAAATTTTTAAAAGTTCTTAAAAAAACGTATTTGAATTATTGAAGGACCTGGTTGGATAAGGGGGTAGAGTACAATCCATTCTGCCTTCTATTTGGTTTAAAATTATTGACCAACAAATTGTTATTGAAGAGAATTAATTCTGTTAACTATTTTTAAGGAAAAAAGCTTTTGAATTAGCTAAGCGTGCTAAATGAAGTCAGAGATTGAAATTTCGGCTCTGATTAGTTACCACCAAGGAAATATTGTTATTTTTCTTGTTTGGCTTGATGTGGTATAATTTTATGCTAAGGTACACATCTGTTCTTTGTTTTGCATATTTTTCTTTGGAAATATTTACAGACTTGCCTTTTCTCTTTGATGTCTGGTCAGTAACTATGCTAAATGTAGATTTGGTGAATTTTTTTAGCAAAATTGTAAGTAAAGTTTCAAATGGCAATACCATCCAACCAGAATATCTCCTTCAAGAAAAATACAATGTAAAGATGACAAACAGGGCCAAGTTCTTTGAAGGACAATTAGCGCAAATCTGGGGCTAGCAAATTAGCCCAGGATTTTAGCTTACCTGCTTCAAACACCTTAGCCCAGAAGTTTAATGATTATTTAATGATTAATTTATTAAGTGGAAAAGCAGTAGATGAGCTCAACTTTTAACTTAATTTTTCTACAATTTTTTATTAGCATTCCAAGATTTTGTTCCAGTTCAATTTTTTATGTACTGCAGTAATAAAATCTTTTAATCTTAATAAAGGGAATGTAAAAACCAAGGAAACCATAATATTGCATCTGTTACATATATGTTTATTTCTTTGGTTGAAGCAAGACAGCTGAGCCTGCTTGCTGCTGACAAGGCAAACAAACAAGAAATGAGACAAAAAGCCTTCAACGTTGTGGTTGAACAGCCTCTGAATGTTGTTTCTGCCAAAGTCATTTTATCAACTTAATCTTTTTTCAACTCAATACATTTTTTTATGGTACCATTGATGATAATATACAAATCAAGACCTTTTCTCCTTGTTGGTCAGTCCTCTTATTTTTTTGATAACGCAGAGATTTTTTGTAAGGAGAAGTTCATCACTGCCCATTTGTTTGAGCCTGTGAGGTTAGAGGTTCTATTTTATCAGAGTTCTCATTTTTTCTTCACTTTAGAGAATAAAAGTAAAGTGTGTGAGATTGTTTCTAAATTTTGTTGTTGAAAATACATTAAGTGTGAGGTTACATTAAATTATTTAAGATACTTTTTACAATTTTCTTTGATTGACCTTTTGAACTCCACCAGAAGAATGACAATAGAATTGTCATATTTTAATCAGAAAGTACAACTAGTTAAGGGCAAGTGGAGTAATGCTTAAAGAAGTGAGCCCTGCTGTATATCATTTTGTAGCTAATTTTTTATTTTAGTTAGTTTTTGGATAAATTATGGTAATGTATGCTAATGAATTTGAAACAAGGGAAAAACAAAAATTAACTGAAATAAAAAATTAACTACAACTTATACATACATGATGAACAAATCTTTCATTTAGTTACCACTGTGTGCGAGATTAAAATATGGCAATAAATTTAGTGTTGTGAGCAGATGTTTTTATTTGTGTGCATGGACTGAGTACAGCAGAATCAAGCAAGGAAACAAAAGGTTCTACTGGCTGGGTTAGCCTGTTCCAGGCGCTCAGACAGTAGAGTGCATGAGAAAAATTCACAAAGAAAAAAAATGAGGGGAGACTCCCCTCCTCCAAATGCAAAAATCCCCCCATTAAATCAATAGCCCAAATTTCCTTCCATACAAATAGAAGCGGCTCAAAAGGGGGCTTTGAAAAATATAAGCCCTGGGGCTTATTTTTGGAAGGATCATAATATGGCATTTTTTTCCATAAGTTTACAGATTGTTACTATTACTGCCCAATAACTAATGGTGAAGATGTGGTCATTATTGGGACTTTTACAAATAAACATGACAAAAGCATAGCCTTGTAAACTACATCACTTTTAAGTTAAGAATTATGATGTTGCAAACTTATCCACCATTTACTTGGTTACCAACGTTTTCAGGAAAAATTGGACTGAAACATAACAAACAGCTCTCACACAATGCAAGGTATCCTCAAATTGAAACACTTCTAAAACCACAAAGTTATTCAAAACAAAACGTTTATTGCTTTGTACTAGTTAATACCCTTGCCAAAGTAACTGATCAGAAAAAACAAAAACTACATATTGTACATAACAGATACTGCAACATCAGGATCATGTTAAACTTTCCAACTTTACGAGCTCATGTTAAGTTTACTGTAAAGTCATCATATAAACAATGCTTCCTTGAGTTGCTATCCTTTTATAAGAATATGTAGATTACTTTTACTTGTCAAAAATAATCTTACAAGTTTTTATGAAGGAGTTGTGAATAAGCAAAGGTTTAGTTCTACAGAAACAAGTAAAAAATAACACGGATAAGAATGAACAAAGTTTTGGGTGTCATCTTGAAAATGGCATCAAGATGACACCGAAATGCTGTTTATCCTTATTCGCATTATTTTTTACTTGAGTTGTGAATAGTTCCGCGAAAATAGTTTTTGCAAAGAAAAAGGCTCTACAGATGCAGTTTGAAAAAAAATAGCATCAAACAGCATTGCTTTGCAACAAACTTAACAGCTACTACGTTAAAGAGACTGTAATGGCTAATTCTAATGGCTATAGACAAGGTGACAATAAATATTTTAATTAAACCTAATATAACTTTACAATCCTTTTCTTGTATCACATGGAAGTCCTTTACACAGCATTTTCTCCAACTTCACACACCAGTAACAGGTTTCAGGTGAAGCCTTCATTATATTGTGAAAGGTTTCCACTTTTGACTGTCATTCCCTTCTTGACGTTTATCTCAGTCTCTCAAGTAGAAATTCTTCCACACTGTCCGTATTCCATTTTTCAATACTAAAAGAAAGAATACATATTTGTGTGAATGATAAATTATCTACAGCCCGGTTTGCACATGATTGCTGTGACTGTATTTTATGATCACCAAAAAAGTCAACTGATCTGAGCAAGACAAGACAAGGTCTTTATTTATAAACCATGCACAGAAAAACTGAGGTAAAAAGACCACCTAGACAATAGCTAAAATTCTAATCTAGGCAGGAGGCTAATCTAGCTGCGGGAGCAATAATTTATATTGCTCCCTAAGCTGCAAAAGACTACCTACAAAAATAGCTCAAATGGGGCTTTTGCAATAACTGAGCGACTTCTCACGCACTGATTGGTCAAGAGTTATGGTCAATAAGAGTACTGACCTGACAATGGCCCAATTTGATTTTCTCATTGTTGTGTGTGCAGTTTGAAATGGGCCTAAAAAACTGTCAATGTTACAGAATTTAAAAAAAAACAATTTGAAAACAATTCCCATCGTCTGTACTCAAAATGTTCAAAGTTTTGCAATGAAACCACTCGTCTGCAGCTTGTGGTTCCACTTGAGTTTAGAACATTTTGACCACATTTTTATGGTTGATAAGAGTACAGAGCATGGAAAATTGTTCTCGATTTGTTAATTTGTCATGGTGGCTGTAAGTTGAGCTTTCTCCTTATGAAGTGTTCATAGGAGGGCTTGGACAACTACTATCAATACTGCACTTACATTGATGAGACTTTTTTCAACAAAAAAGAGTTTAGTGAGAACTTGTTCACTCACCTTAACTCCTCTTGAACCTCATTGTTTTCATCATGAAGCTTAAGAATTGGATCGGCCCCTCGAACAAACTGCAAGGAGAGAATGACACTTTGTGTACATGTTCATACACGCAAAAGGATAATAAGAATAACTATGGATTTAGATACGACATTGCAGGTCACTGAAAAATTGATAAAATTACCTACTAGCACCAACTGCAGCGGGAATAAAAATAACTGACCATGATCGAGAGATGGACAACTTACGTTTATCCTAAGATTAGGAAACTTGGCAGGCCTATCACTCCGGACAAAGGCTGTTACAAACAAAATATAACATATCAGAACTGATGCAACACCATTTAGAACATCAAGAGAAACAATATATTTCACTGAATAAAATATTTTGAGGCTAAAAAGCCCTCTTTACAAAATTGCTAAAAAAATTGCTTCTCTCCCTCCGAAAATTAACTTTTTTTGGAGGGAGAGAAGCGACGACCGGAAATACGTCTGTGCTTCGCAGGCTATTGAACCTTCACCAACAGCCACCCCTCCACAATGGTCACCTCTCTACAATGGCCACTTTATTGTCCCAATGGACAGTCCATACATTGACTCTTGTTTAATCCTATCTACAATGGCAATGACCAATAAAGCGTGTCCCCAACTGCCAAAATAACTGCTCGATAATGGCCAATTTTTTCAACTACTGATGAAAAAGTCAAGAATGGTCATGAAATTTGATCCATAAAGCATGTTGACGATCAATCGCAACAGTCTTACTTTGATTGTGTTCCATTTATACTGCTGCAGTGAGCTAAACTGTCTACAATACTTATAGTAAATGCTGCGAATCTTGCTCATTTTGTCATGTTAACATTTCAATTCAAACCTGTTCATTATAAAGCTTTTTCTTTTTCTTTTATCTTTTTATAATACTATTATAGATACATAATGGGATACAGTAAGCATGAACTCAGCTCGATATACATGTTGTACTCCCTCAAAAAAATGTCATGTTTTACACCCCTACCTCCCCATAACAGCCACCTCTCCACTTTGGCCACTTTCTTCTATCCCCAAAGTGGCCATTGTGGAGAGGTTTGACTGTAATAAAAAGAGGGAAGGACTCCCTCCCACCCCCCCTCTCCATACCCTGACTTTTTCAGGGTCATTTCTGAATAAAACTGCCTCTTTCACCTGGTCCCTGATTTCAACAGGCACCCTACGCTAAGAAGTATCCTAGGTATTTCTGTATTAACAGTGGGATTTTGTTGAGATATAGCTTATAAAATTAATATCTTATGTGGGGCCCGGTATCTTAGTAAACATTGTGTGCCTCTGTGCTTCCTACAAGCAGGCCTCTAAGATGGGACCATTTTTGGACAGCATGGAGACTAGAAAAAATCATGGCAACTAACATGGTGAAAGTTGTTACCAGTAATTTGGCAACCTGTGTTTGAAAGTCATGCGCCAAGTCATAAAATTTTAATTTATATGTTTAATAATAATATTAGTGTTTTTCTAAAGTTAAGAGGCAGCTAGAGTAGGAGCTCGCAGGTTCAGAGCAGGAGGTCGCAAGTTTGATCCCGATGGCCAGACCAATACTCAGTCAGGGTTTGAAAGTACCTGCTTTGCCCTGCAAACAGCTAGACATGATGTAAAAGAATTCTGGTGCCCTGAATTAGTACTGTCATACTACATGTAAATACATACATTGGCACCCAAATAAAGGACATTTTTTAAGCGCGACTATTAAAAAAGTTGAGCTAGTACCAGTTGTTCAAGAAGTGATATGTAACTTTGGAGGCCAAGGATAAAACCCTGCTATGAAAACCATGTTTTGCACTTTCTTTGCCAAACCTTAACTGTTGACCCTGCCTTTAAAATTCTAAAGAAGCACAAAGACTTTCAATCAGCGAAAGTTGCCAGAAACAGTTCTGTGTTCCTTACCCTGTATTTGAGGGAACCTTCCCAACTTTCAGTTACACACTTCAAGGGTACCAAAGGCATACTTCTAAATAACAAAAAATATAATAATGTTAGACCTCAGAACCAAAAATACTGGTTTTAGAATATATTACAGCGACACATCTCTTATGAAAGTAACTCAGAGCAATACGAATATAAAAATTAATAAAAAATGATTAAAATGAGAATCATATTATTAGTGTTGATTATGAGGTCTTGATTAACATCAGATAATGCTGTTACAAACAATAAATGATGGAGAGGGGCGAGTACAGAAATCAAAAATCACACATCACTGCTGGAAGTGGCACTGCAATGAATAAAAACTGCTGAAGTGTTGATTGGGGTTGGACATTTGCTCAGCTCTTTTTTCATCCCCACTGTCGGGCATTTGGCAGATCAAGTGTTGTCACTGTCACCCCTGGGAATGTTCCATCCAAAACAAAAGTAAAGCTACTAGGGAGCTTTTGTTACAATGACTATGAAGGCAACATGAATGTCAAAAAACCAATAGGGTTTAATAAGCAATGCAACAATTTTGCATGTGCAGCATGCTTTCTGGTAAAAACTTTACCCTTACGTGCGGTTCCCCGGGAAATTCACCCACATTCGACATTAACCCGCTAACATCTTATGGTTGTATGAGCCCCCCAGGTGAAGATCCCCAAGGAGACGGCATAAGTCCTTTTTCCAGCCAAGTCCAGGAAATATGGATCAACTGGAAAAAGCATTTCTCAGCGGATAATATCATGTGCACTGGCCAAAACCAAGCCAGTTGGAGATGACTTACAGTCGACTGCTCTTTGGCCAAACAATGATGATGACAACATTCAAAGCAAGTTAGAATAAATACAACAAAGTTTGAAAAATGCAAATTCATTTTCATAAAGACATTTTCACTGCCTTTGCCATCATCATTGTTAAAGCTCCCTAATGCCTGGAAGTGAACCGGGGGGGGAGGCATGGGAACAGCTGAAAATTGACTGATGCATATAGTGCGCTTCTCAGTTTGATCTTCAAGGTCCTAACTTTTCTTCTCTCTGAACTGAGATTCTATACTTATCATATGAACTAAAATTATGATATAAACACTACCTAGAACATCTTTATAACAAATTAGCGATTTTCACGAATTCGGCACCATAGCTTGTAGCCAAGATGGCGGTGATGACGTCACAAACAGACCACAAGAACGACACAACATAAATTGACATCAATAGATTGCTCTAAAAGGGAACAAATATCTTTCTTTCGAACGAAACTCTCATAAAAAGTGACAAAAATAACGCAATTCAAACCTTAGTGGCTTCTTCTTGTTCATCTGCATGGCAGCACTTTCGACAATTCGCCTCAAGAGACGGTTCCGATGTAAGATTAAAGGGTTTTAATTCATCGCACGAGCTACAGAGAAGATTAACCGAAAATCCTAATTCTCTACATTGCTCTGGCGTTAATTCTGAGACAGAGAGCTGAATGAGAGCAAAGAAAACGGACAAAAATGGAGAAAAATAACCCGTCCAATCCATTGTGGACACCATGCAAAAGCTTTGCTATACCCAGGCTTTCACGGTCTTCTGAGAGCAACCTGGGTCATGCAAACCTTAAACCTGGGTCGGAAGGACTGACTACGAGCAATCTCTCTTTTTTCGTAGTCCATCGAGCAAAACATTCGAGACACACAAATGACCAGGCGGGTTACTTAAGGCGGCGAGACGGGGAAGGCACGGAAAAAGAGAGACTCTCTGTTTTTCTTCTCCGGCTGCCGCCCTCGTTTCTCGCGTCTCGTGGCTTCGCCGCTCGACGCTCGCACGCGCGTGCACTCCCCTTACTTAAAATCTGAAGAAAAAGAGAGGCTGCTCAAAGTCTAGAAGAATTTATGTATTGATCAATCTACTTAGCCTGAATTTCAGACGAGTACTGTGGCTCGTTTTCTCCTCTCAGCAACTGAGAGTCTGAGGGAGTAAAAACGACTGGAAGTAATCGTCTACAATTCAGGCTGCAATCTACTCCGACTTCATGTCAATCTTAGGGAGCTTTCCATTTGTCAGAACTGACCGGTCAGACTGTTCCCGTGGCGATTTACTTTAAATCAAACCTGAACCTTTCCAGCAACATCAGCCAAATCCTAAATTCTATGCACGAAGGAGATAGTTTTTCATCTAAACCTTCTGGGAAAAAAATGCACTTTATTTGAGTGTCAATGTATTCAGCACGAAAGCACTAATTGGGGACACTATTTTTACGTCTCCTACCAGTGACACGACCGCCATTTTACGTGTTTCAGCCGAGCCCAGGGTTCATACAAAAAATTGCAACCATTTTTGAAGGATTTTTCAAGGACTTTTCAAGGACCACATTCGATTTTCAAGGACCACCTACCTGGAATGTGATTTCACACATTGTGAAAAAATGCACGTTCTCAGTCCATTCACCCAGTATAAGGCTTGAACTGTTTCCTCACCAACTTCTCTACATTTTTCAGTTTACTTGTCTTAAATTAATAGTTAATTCTTGCATAAAACAAACAATGCTTTACGTCGGCTCCTGTTTACGTAAATTACTTTGAACGTCTCTAGTATGATTTATAATCTGTCTTGTTTAAGTTCAAGTTCATTTATTCACACTTATTCAATTACAATACAACAATAAGGAAAAAAAGGAAGAAGTAAAAAAAAAACAGAGCTAACTATACATTGAATTAAACATAAAAACGGAAGAGTGTGTAGTAGCCAAAGGAGCCAAGCTTTCGAGTTGGCTACCGCCACAGAGCAGTTACAAGTGGGTGGAGGTTATACGGTTTTCTTGGAAAACCAAAAAGCATTAAAAAACACTTTCCAGGCCACCACATTCAAAGTTGAAGAAAATTCAAGGACTTTTAAAGGACTTGCAAAGAATTTTCAAGGAGTCTCGTTAAAATTCAAGGACTCTTTAAGACACGGCTCGAACCCTGGAGCCACGTGAAGATCCAGCCGTTAATGCAGTACCTTTAATTCTCAGTTATTTTTAAAAGCTTGAGTATTAGTCCGGTCCCGGGAATCGAATCCTAGACCTCCCGCTCTGCAGTCAAGCGCTCTGCCGACCGAGCTAATCCTGCCAGGGTTACTATTTCTTTGTCAAACTGACTGGTCGAGCAATGGTAAGGCCGGCCAGTTCTGACAAATGAAAAGTGCCCTCCCGTCAGATTGCATTCATAACTCAGCAGTACACGATGAAGCCTTTATCATGTGTTTCATGAGGAAATTTAAGAGGAAACGTTTGAATTTGTTAATCGACAGTAAGGAAAAGAGGGGAGTGTTGTTGTTACGTTGTTGCTGTCATCTCCGCGAGCTGTGAGGGCTGTAAAGTTGTTTTCTCTCAATAACAATTATTCGGTGAATTAATAGTTTTCCGGCACCTAAATATGGATTTTACAATCACTGCTCAATATCTCGACATACGCACGCTAACGCATGAACTAATTGTTAAGTGAAAACGGGTCGAGACGTGAACCCCTTATACTTCTGGCCCGGTTTGATAAATCCGCTTTCCACTTGATAGAGATTTATACAGTGAATAGCATTATCCACTTTTCGAACAAATTGGCCCTGGAGATTTTGGCTGATAATCGGGCCTTTGGAAAATATCAAACACAGTTCTTGAATGCTTTGTTCGCTTTTGTCGCCGTAAAAGAGCCACGACGTTGTCAATTTTTGTTTTGTCTTTGTCCGCTTCAACTTTTTTTGGAGAACGCGAACAAATTCATTTTAATGCATGATCAATTTTCCAATTTTCTTTTACATGTATTGATTTTTATCATTTTACTTTCTCTTTCTGTTTCCGGGTTACCGGAAGTGTGACCGGAAATAACACTTTTCCCATGGGTACGATGGGTACAGCCGTGAAAACAGAATTTTGGCGCCTTTTTGCAACAGCAGTGACGCGGCAAACAGAAAAGGACAGGAATCGGACAGGAAGCGACAAGATGTCGATTTCGAGCATCATCAGAAATCAAGGAAACGATTTTTTTCGCCAGGCTTGCTCGGGGAAAATCTCCGACTTACAGAAATCAAGAGAGCTATTTGACCAAGCGTTATCCCGGTATTACAAAGCTAAGGAAAAAGCCGAAGATTCAGACGATGAATGCTCCGCCGCCAAGAACATCGGCAAGGCTGCATGGCGGATAGCGGGTGTTTTGACTCAAAAGCTGGAGAGTTTTCAGACTATCCTGCACTACCAACGCGAAGCAATCAAAGGATTATGCGAAGCTTTCAACAAAAGTGAAGACTGTAAACCAGAGCAGTGGCGAAACGAAGTTCTAGGAACACTCACTCTTTGTTTGCAAGAAGTCATCGACTGGTGTGACACGTTTCATCCCGACATCAAGATTCACCAGCTCGAGCAGCTTGTTTTGATCACAACCGTAGACAGAGCCACTGTTGATCTACAGCTGAGGTTGGCCAGGCTTTACTTTTATGACGGAGCCACTAAGCTTCAAAATGGCGAGTATAAGACATGTCTTTCCCGCATGAGAGATTGCTACCGGCCCATCGAAGAAGTGAAGCGCTTGGCTCATATTACAGGGGAGGAGTTGAACGATCTGCTGGATGAAGCGCAAACTTTAGAGCAAGATGTGTTCTACCACTCGTGCTCCGCGTCGTCAATGCAAGCTCGCGTACAGGGAGACCACCTTCTTACAATGGCTTTAGAAGATGAAGAGGAACTTGATATGACTTTGGTTTTTGAAGTCATCGACTGGTACAAGCAGGCCGTGGTCTTGGCAAGAGAGATTGAAATAGAACAGGAAGCTATCGCTGAGAGCAGACTGGGCGTTGTCTATGACAAAGTACTGAAGCTGACTCACCGCGCTAAAGATTACTTCAACCACACCCTGCAATTGGCAGAGTCCATGAAGCCGCGCATCTTCACCTCTGACGACTGGTACAAAGTGTGCGTCAGCACCCTGCAGCGATATCAAGAAGAGATCCGCCAGCGTGAAGAGGATGAGAAAAGTAAGGTACGAGCTAAGTATCTGGACGAGCTCAAAGAGGAGCTTGCAGATATCAAGAAGCACGACACCAGCGCTACTGCTTTGATCAAACATGTGTACACCAGCTACCCTCCAAAGTCTTCTTCCTGGGAGAAACCCAGTGACGATGAGATCAGCAAGTGGGATTCCCTGGAAAGGGGGACCAAAGAGTACAAGAAGTTTCTCCTAAAGGCATTGGCTGTTTTCCATCCAGACAAGGTAGATGATAAGGAACATGGGATGAAGTGGAAAGTTCTCAGTGAGGAGATTACAAAAATGATCACTAATTATTATGAAAACACAAAGTTTGCATGTTAGTCATTTCACTCAGAGACAGCTCTTTAAGTTATGTTCGCAAAGGTACCTCTTGTGTCGTGGAGACAGTTGACTGTGGTCCATGGGACATAGGATTACATTCTGTAATATATATTGAACTTCGGCTCGCCACAAGTAAAGAGTGGAGTGGAGAAGATGTTTTTATCACTCTCGAGACAAAGTCCTCCATAAATGCATTTTGACTCATACAGTGGATTCTGTTACACTTTTTATCAGGGATTTATGCCAACTATTTCAGTTGAGTGATGCTTTAGGTTGGAGTTTGTGCAGGTTTTGCTGTAAATGTAGCTCATCAAAAAGTTATGAACTGTCAATTGTTGTTACATTTTAATAGTTTATTAGAGCAATTTTCATATGACCTTGAAAAATGGTTTCAGTACGTGTTTGTTATTTGTTTTATCAGCCAATGGATGAAAAGATCAAAACATGGCCTCTGAGTTTTCCTGTCAAAGAAAACCCTGGTGTTCGATTGGCCAGTCTTGTTGCAGTATGATGTCAAAGTGAAGTATCGGTTGATTTCTAGAAAGCTGTCGGGCATAAAGTTTTTTTCACCAGAGTGTTCGCTTAACCAGCCAAAAGTCACACGCATTTGTATCCACTCGACAAACCAATCAGATACCTCTATTTCTGTTCATTTGTTGTTTCTGTTTTGTTTGCGCATTTTCATTTCAAGGTCATACGAAAATCACTGTTAATGCTGATGTTAATGTTACAGGTAATTTCTTGATGTTGCATATGGGAACAATCACAGAATGATTACAAAGACACTGATGAGTACCAACGTCACAAATGCAAACAAACAATGGTTTGCGTAACATCAAGACAAACCGCTGTTTAGTCTGTTATAGATTAGATTTAAATGTCAGATTTGATTTTATCATAGCGGTAGACTACAATCAGCCTCTTGGTTTACATTATGTAAGTGTAAAGAGAGTCTGTAGGTGTGAGAGGAGAGTAGGATGCGCTGTTTTGCAAATCGTGCCTCCAGATTTCTTTCAGCCATGTTTCTTTAATTCTACTTCTCTCTCTCTCTCTTCACTTGGTGGACTTCGAAGAGGAGGGTGAATAAGGGTTTGCAAATCCCCCAATACGTTATGATTTACTTACCAAATTAATCTGCTGTTAAAATTTCACTCTGAATCTGAAATTCGGGCAAACATAATTCTAAAACATGCAAAGTCCAAAATCTGGGCTAATGAAATGGATAAATCTGCAATTGCTGGATTTGCAAATCCGTTAAAATTTTGCTCTGAATTCAAAATTCGGACAAAAATGTTTTCAAAATCCACCCATCTGTTGGCCCATTCACCCCCCTCTCAGGAAAAAATAAGCGGCTGCTTGTAGCCTATCAAAGAGTTATCATGAGGCCCTTGTGAATCAACCAAAGTTTTTAATGATAGAAGTAAGTATATTGTTGTTCAGGATCAAGGGGGATAGGGACTGGAGGTTTCTATGTTTCTGGGAAAACTACCCACCTACCCCTCTCCTAAGCCAACACTTTGCCTAAGTGAGAAGTAAGCATTAATGTTGCCTTAGGGGAGGGGTAGGTGGGCAGCTTCCCAGAAACGTATAATGATCTGAAGTCTCGTTGTTCATTGTAAATTACCCTCCATTCTAGAAACCGGTACGTTATTAGCTACCTTGCATAAACGTTTGAAATAGATGTATAATGCAAAAATACTGATTACCGGTAAATTGCGAGTATAATTATTAAGTCCTTGGAATTGAATATAAAAATGTTATTGTTAAATTTTTTAATATGTTGCATGATCATAAAATTAATGATAAAAAACAATGTTGAAAAACTGCTTGAAAAGAATTGCATTTATGAAAAAATGTTTTTAATGAAGTTGCATCCTTTAAGAATTAGAGTGCGAGTGGTCTCACTTTTATCCTCTGGGCTGGGCATTGTGAGCAAAAAAGTAAAATTATACTATTTAGTCAAATTAATGTTAAAAAGGAGGAGAGTTTGGGGTGAAAAGATTGGAGGTTTTGTTGTATTTTGAATTAACCTTTTCAATGAAACAGAAATTTCCAGTTGACTGGCTACTTTTCAATGTGTCAGTAACAAAAAATTCTTAGTCTCAAAGTGTGCATCAAGACTTGCGCTCTAGTTTCTAAATGTATACTGCCCTTGTTTCACACCATCAAAATTGCCGTGTGAGACTACTTAACAGTCAATGGCAAATTATGGGACCACAGTGTGACTATAGGATTAGCTGGCCATAGTTTGCAGAGGTAAATCCAAAGTTTGGGAATGATATTTATTAAGTCAGAGATGCAGGCAACTCGGAAAAAGCACCTGTGTTCTCAGGGTGTAAAGAAAGTCAGTTTTAGCTAGCATGTACTAGCATGTACTTTAACACGTGTAATTTTCAAGTGTAACTATTGTTCTCCGACTCTAAAAAAGTAGCTATGCTTTGTGCATTACACTTGCAAAAGTTTGACCCTCGCTGTGTGGGGGAGGAGGGTTGCTTAAGGGGAGTTTGGGTCAAAGTGTTCAGCAGAGGCCTTCAAACCCCGACTCTGCAGATGTAAAATTGTCTATTCTGCTACCTTGTTTAAGACAAGCAGGGGCGGATCCAGGATTTTTTTTAGGACGGGGTGCACTCATCTCTTGCTCTACTTCAACACCAATAAACCACATAGTTTTTTGTTTTTGTAGAATACCAGTTGTATTAGAAAGCCGCAGGTCATCTCAGGGGAGGGGGGTGTGCGCACCCCCAGCACTCTCCCCCTAGATCTGCCCCTGACAAGAGACCTTAAGTTTTTAGTACCACAAAAATTAACATAGACGTTTTACAGCCAACCCTCATTCAGTCTTTCAATAGCTTCAGAGTCCAAAATGACACCCTGTTCAAGATCCCGGGGGGCCCCCGGTTCAAGATGCAAAAAAGTGAAACTGTATACTCTGTTCAGCAAGACCCCAGGCCACGGCCTAGTTTACTACATGCGCGCACAACACAGGCACGAGCCAATCAGAACTTCCAGAAATGTCACATGAGGTCAGTGAAGAGTTTGACAGAAGAACCTTGCCTCGCCCTGGGCAGCCTCTTAGAGATTGTTTTTAATATGGAAGTTGTGTCCCTTATCTAAGTGACTCACCCCCAAACCTTTTCTTTATGGTTCTGTGGTCTGCTTCATGCTTCACGTCTTCACGAGACTGCAATTTTAGGGCGGGAAATGGAGACGAGGTTGCCAATGTTTGAGGAGTCCTGGGCCTGGGATGGTGAGAAAGCAGAATTGCTTGTTATCGGAAACGAAAGATCTCTGTTTCCTTGATGTTGCCTTTATAGTTCCGTGTGTAAACTAGGAATGGTGTTAATATCGTGAAAGGATAACCTATTGGTCTTTGTAAAAGATGACAAAAGACGATCTGGCCGATGGTACAGTTTCCTCTCTCTTTGAAATATGTTTCAAAACCTCTCTAAGGTACCTCGAATCATCTCAGCTTCCAAAGAATGAGAGCCTCTTTCTGCCCGAAGAAGTCTGCCAAGCACTTATATCCCAAAAGATAAAGATGGGAACTTGCAGCGATGATTTTATTGCTAAATTTTTTGCTGATGTGCAAACGAGTCGAATGACTAGAGCTAATCTTAGCTGTACGGCCATAACAGACGCGGGCGTCGAACTGATCTCTCGTCATTGTCTGCGAGAAGTGGATGTTTCAAAGTGCGAGGCGTTAACATCCAAATCAATCGAATTCCTGCTCCGTTGTAAAGATTCCCTCGTTTCTTTGAACGTTTCTTATTGTCGCCAGATTAACTACTTTAGTGGTCTGCAACATTTTACTAAACTTAAGAGTCTGGATTTGTCTCGGACATTTATCGATCAAAGAGAATTTGATTCCCTATGTACACTGGTTCATCTCAGAAGATTAAATATTAGTGGCACACATATTTCATCCCTGGAGCCCGTGAGAAGCATGTGTTCTCTAACTTCTCTGGATTTATCGAACTGTGATGATCTTGAGAGCGTTGAACCTCTGGTAGCTGTTAAGGGGTATGACTTGTATCTCATTTGTCAAGTGACACCTAGACAAAACTCACAGACCCGGTTGTTCAAACGTTGGTTAGCGCTTTAGCTATCCACTGGACAAATTACTATACAGCAGATAGATGTTACGAAAATCAATACTATTGTGTTATTTGCTGAATAGTGATTTATCCAGACAAACATTATCCACGTTTTGAACAACCAGCACTAGGACTTGGGACTTGCCATTAATTATCCACACCCCTCTTAAGGATGGCAAGCTTTTGAATAGGGTGGTTTGAACATTTTCTTTGAGGAAGCTGACAAAATCTGTACCCTTATGATATTGATTTAGATGTCCTCCAAAAAGTAAACCCTTCAGAGGGTGCCAACAAAAAATTGAGGGTTCAAATTCCCGCCATCTTTAGAGGGATTGCTGATAAAAAAATATGGAACATTCTTTATAAGGTCCTCAAAGTGGTTCACCATGGTTTGTAGCACTTTTCAGCTCCTCTGCTTTTAAACAACCACAGAAAAAATAGTATTAAACCATTAATAACCAAAGTTTAGGGAGTGTGGGCGACGATGATCGAAGGTCAAAATGCTTTTGCTCCATCACTGTGCTTTGTGTAAGCTTCACATGACAGATGGTCAAAACAGGCGTGATCAGATTACAAGGGATAGAAGGTCGAGACCCTTGTGATCAAATTGCGTTCTGTACATTCCATTCATTTGTAGTGGAATTTCAAACGAATGCTGGCTACCTACATGTGACGTATGTGTAATGACAACTTGGAGATTAGGATTGCGGGCGACAAGAGGATGGCACAACAAATGCTCAGTGATTAGTGAAAGAGTTGTAGCCATTTTTTGGCCTTTTGGCCATTGACTCGATAAGAGTTTTCCCTTTATTGTCACTACCATTAAGCGTAGTGGTGGATCCCAGGGGAGGAGCCTGGGAGGCCCAGGCACCCCTTATTTGAAGACCAAACTGAGGCCTGAAGGAAAAAATTTTTTTCCCACTTTGTTATCATTATTCAGGATATTTGCTTACACATGTATTGGAATTAAATTTATTTTTGTTTAAAGGACACTGTGCTGGCTGTCACTGTACAACTGTAGAAGACTGGAAGCGGATGAAATGTTAGTTACACTGCAACAACTAATGCAGTTGCAGCACCTTGATTTGTCAAGAGATGATCCCGATGAATCTGTGTGGTTTCAATCATTTTTGGAATCTATGGTAGTGCTGGTGGATGAGGAGTTTTTGGAAGAATTACTGCCTTGTCTTCCAAATCTAACCTCACTGGACATTTCAGGTCAGATTAGGTTGAACTAAATTCTTACACAGGATAAAGGCTGTACTCTAGCACAGCCCGTGGCCCCTGGCTCCTAACTTTTGCTGCGGGCAACTAGAAAATCTCAGTTTTTTCATAGAAATCTTATGCTGGGTCCCCTGGATTTCACAGGTTCAGAGCACTGGGCTCCCTTCAATTTTTCGTCAAGCAGTACAGCCTTGCAGAATGATTAAAAAAAGACTGACAATATTGATATTAGCCGTATTTGCTTTTTAGCTTTTGACTGCATGTAAAATCAGATAACTACCCTTGGCTGTTTTAATGCTAGAGACCTTAAAATCATCTAGACACATTAAAAATCACAGATGTTAAAGGCAACTGGTGTAAAAATGGAATATATGAAAGAAGACAATGACATTGAAAAAAAAACAGGGTTTTCTGAATAAAAGACGAACCACTAACTCTTCCCAGTCATCTCTGGAGAAGCTGGGCACAAATGTGTCCCAATTACGGTGTCCCTTTTTTTACTAGACTCATTTAATGTCTGAGAAGTTAAAGTAAAATGTGAAGTAGTCTGAATGACGCCCTTTAATAACAGAAAGTGTTAAAGATGTCAGTCATTTAATGCATCTGTCTTATTTACCGTTTTTATACTAGACGTTTAAGTCAACATCCCTAGCGTTAAAATAGCCATTGTCACTAGGAAGAATGAATGCTTATTTGTAGGCGGACCTTATCAATTTTTTTACCTTAAATTTACGACATGGCTTATTCAAGGGCTGTGTTCCTTTAAGTGAATCAGCAATTTTCCTTTCCTTGTTTTTACCAGGTAATGCAAGGTTCAAGTATGAGCACCTTCAGCTGTTTCGTCAACACTGCAAACAGAGGCTTCAGTTTCTTGGATTGTTTCAGACTAATATGTACCGTTACCGAGAAATTCCTGCTGAACAGGTCAGCAATAATTTTTCCTTTCCAGAGCTGTCAATAGGTCAAAGAATTATAGCAATTATTTTGAAAAAGTTTAAGTCATGACAATGACTAGTGTATGTGCCAGAGTAAAGTGCATAGAAACCCTGGTCTTGTGGTTTATGCACTGGACTTATAATCGGAGATCAGGGTTCGAGCGTTGGCTATAAGTGTCGTGTTGTTTTCTTGGACAAAAAAACTTTGCTTCTCTCTTCACCCAGGTGTATAATATTATATTTCACTGCATATGGGCAACTTACATTACTGTTGGGGGAATCCTATGATCCCAGGTGGCAACTCGTATAGAAATACGACAGGGATGCTTGTTGAAAAATTAGAATTTTAGTCCAGAGGAGACCCATCTGGATGTAGGCTACCACACAGACAAAACTAAAACTGTGAGTAAGTCTGTTTGCAAGCCAGAGCCAGAATTCTTTTTTCTTGGTCTCCAGCTGTGTACCAGGATTTGATTATGCACCATAGTTGGCCTGTTAAAAAGCCATTGGCAATTAACCAATCAGGTTGGAGGGAAATTCAAAACACACTTCTGGTAATTTGTTGAACCTGTTGGGTGCCTAAAACAAGGATTTTGGCGCTTCTTTGTCAGGGTTAGATTAGGTCTGTGTTATAGGCTAATGTGGATGTCACTCAGAAGTTTGCACTACTGTAAACAGAAAGCCAAAAATAAGAGCCATAGTGATTTTCATTGTACTGTATTTAAAACAATGATGGTGCATGGCTTGTGTCATAAATAATTCTTTCTGCACAGTCTTAGGCAATAGCTGTATGGGTAAAAAATAACTGATGTTGGCTTTCCATCCTGAGAGAAGAATTTGCAATTCACATTTCTAAGCAAGATTACAAGCATCCTCATCTTTTTCATTTGGGAGTACCCCCGCCCTGGGCATCTGCCGTGGAGTACTTCATAAGACAGGGGGTGTGCCAAACTGAGATCATTTCTTGCCACCTTACCTTAACTTACCAAAATAGAGTATTCCTATGGAAGAGGGAGGCCCATCAGGGAAGTTCTCAAGTGCCCCAGGGCCCCCTCCCTGCAACCCACAATGTACTTTTAAAATCATCAGTGTCCTGATCTAAGACATCACCATACATGATTAAGAGATGTAATGCTTTCAACTCTTTAAACATTTATGTAGGTGTCAGGAAATGCGAATCTCAGTCAGATCACTCTGTCAATGGAGGTTTACAAGAACAGGCCCAAGTTTCTGATCAGTGCTTTGCAAGAACTGTTTTCCATCATAAGGCAAAGGGATCATGACATGGACATTAACTCAATTTGCAGAGTAAGCCATTGATAGCTCTTAAAGAAGATGTGACACAATGAACGTGGCAAAGCAAAAAGTGCAATACCTTAATTTTGCTTCATTTTCTCTGGTTTACAAAAAAGCTAACCCAACTTTTTTTACCTTCTATTTCACCAAATCATTTTAGTGTTTCTTACGTGACTTGGAAGGCATGCGCATGCAAAAATCCAAGAAATTATGAGCCAAATGAAAAATCAATCTTAAATCAACAAACTGGTACATTCATCATGCTCCCAATTTTCTTTTTTATAATTACTGCTTTTTGGTCTAAAATTCACTTAATCTGTTTTCTGAACAGCTTGTCTTAGGTTCCATGGAAAATCATTCTTCAGAGAAAAAGATTCAACTTGCTGGAAGGTGAGTCTGAACCTGTATTCATGAACCCTTGGTCTTTTTTGACCTTCCAGTGATATATTTTCCAGTCAAAATGAGTTATGAATTATTCATAGTGGCTGGATACAGGCCATTACATGTAGATAGTCTACTCAATACATTTGTAACCAGGAAGGGGAAGACGGATGCCCCTGTTTTCCTTTAAACAGGTAAAAATAAGTGGATTGCTCAAACATTCTAAATGATCATGGAATAGTTTTCGAGGTTAAATGGCTGTTGGTAAAATGACCAAATAGGACAAAAATTTTATTTTGAGTCATGTATTCATGTAATTAGCCTGTGTGCAGATGTCTCCTATTTTCTTTGTTGCTCAAGGAAAAAGAATATCTGTGCAATGATGTTGCTTAAATTATTAGTATTTCTAATTAACCATAATTTATATTTGATTGCAATTGGCCCTTCCTGTAAAGTGACATGAATAAACTGCTCCAAGCCTTACTTTAAATTTATGAAGTGTCTGTGTGTTTTTTTTTCAGTGCGTCCCTATATCATCTGTCAAGAGATGATGATGAGAATCCTAACTGGCAGCTGTCCATGGAGTTAAAAAGGTAGTAACACGTACTTGTAAAGGAAACAGCAAATTTAAGAGGAAAATGTCAGTAATTTGGAGAGTTATCATAGGTAATGATTTAGTGAATAAAACTTCTCCTCATCTCCTTCAGACGTGTCATTGAAGCCACTCTGAATGCCATGGAAAATCATGTTAAAGAGGCTCAGGTGTGTAAACTGATTTGAATACATTACTAGAAATAATAAGTAAATCATATAACAAGTTATTGTTGTTAAACTAGTTTTAGGTGACAAGTGCTTAAGCCATCATGAATGCCATCGACAGTGACCGAGTTAAACCAACTTGAAGGCCTGACTTGAAGGGCCGAGAAAAATTATTTTTGAGGGTGTCTTTCCCTTTATAATATGGATAGTGCTATCCACCATGTAAATCTCTATCCAGTGGATAGTGCAACTGGTTTCCCGAGAAAAGGAATTCATCTAGAGATTTATCTGATGGAAAGCTCTATCCAGCTTTTGAACAACTGGGGCCTGGATGAGGGTAGAATTGTATCAGTACATTAAACTATCAATGTATAATTTGCGTTGTTGGTGCTGTGATAACAATGCATTGATTGTAGTTTCAGCTATCCATAACGGCAGAGATGGAGCTAAGGAAAAGATAAGCAGGCTTATTTATTAGTCAAGCCAGCTTTTTACTCAACTGCACCACTAAAATTCCCTGATGTCTTTGTTTTTATTTGCAGTTTGAGCTGGTGGTAAGCCCTTTTTCAGCCGGTGAAATTAGCTCGCAGCCGGCTCTTAGCGACATCCCTGCAACAGTTTTTCACCATAAATAAATTGTCAATAGTTATGAAAGTTCTCAAGTTATGTCCAGTGGTCCTTTTTCTTGATTGAAAAATGCTTCTCATGTTCTCTGCTAGCTCTCTGTCCTGTTCACTGTTTTGTTTTATTGTTTCTTGAATTCGAGGAAATATGTTACATTTTTAAAAACAAACTTTATTTATCTCCACAGTCTTTTCCAGATTTGAAATGTTAGATGATTTGGAGATTTTAGGCACTAGCAGTTCAATTAAAGGCAGTCTTAAAGATTTGTTTGATAGTTACATTGTTGAATTCAAATATACATGGCATGATAGCAGTATTTTTAATTGAAATACTGACGTGTTCTGTACTTTTTTTCTTTTATTAGTTACAGAAGAACTGTTGCCTAACTCTCTGCAACTTCAGAATTCCAGATGAAGTGGTAAGCAGTTTTTTGTAAACCGCTTTTTCGTTATTAATTCTCTAAATACAACAAGTGTGGTGTTTACAATAATTTGCCAAGTTTGTGGATGAATTTTCCAGATTTTTAGTTTGACCATTCAATGATGCCATTGCTTGCAAGCAGTACTTGTCCCTCCATGTTGCACACGTTAAGCATGTTTTAGATTTTCTCTTCAGCTCTGCAAGTAGTTTGCTCCAACTTTTGTCTTTGCTCATGAAGTAAGGTTTAACGATTCAGTTTATTAATACCTTTGCTCCAGCTCACTGTTCATGCTGACTGTACTGCACAAGATGATTCAAGCTTTTAACAGTTTTCTTGAGTTCAAAAATGTGCATTTCTTTGTACATTATCTCAGTTAGTCATGTCTCAAGCAGATGGTTAAGTCATTGGAATTGGTTTGGTGAGGTAAAATTCTCGGGAACTTCAATGGCTTGTTCTAACTTAATTACTATCAAGTATTGTAAAGCAAGCTATTTCCACTCAAATCTTGAAAGCTGGACCACATTGTGGGCATCTATGTCTCCTGTAGTTTCTAAAAAGTGGTTAGGGTTGTAAATGTCTCCTTCAAACTGACAAGGAAGGAGAAATACTAACAGCCTCACCATTGGGCAATGAAGGGATTATTGAACCAAGACAAAGTGTTAATGATTTAGCCATCATGATATGACAACTTTCGTAAAAACTGTAGATAGTGATGCAGCCGGGATTCAAACCCTCCTGGCAACATCTCGCTCTCACACTGGAGCTCTACCAGTGTATGTTTCATTGTTTGTTTGTTGTTTTTTTATTTAGAAGCTTTTTGGTTTTCCTTTCAGAGTTGTAATTATAAAAGAATTGTTGAGCTGTTGTTGCGGGCGGCCTTGGTGCATCATGACGACTTTATACAAAGGACTGCCATTGCCCTATGTAACCTTCTGGTGTGTCAGGTATGTAGTGCTAGAAATTTAATATTATGGTATGTTCAAACCTGGGAGCAGTGGGGGCCCAGTGGTGAAAACTTTCGCCTTGCACCAAGGTGGCGTGGGCTCAATTCTTGGTGTGAACAAGGGTGGATTGAGTTTGTTATTTGCCCTCTTCTCTGCTCTCAGAGGTTTTTCTCCAGTTTTTCCCTCTCCTCAAAAGCCAACATTCCAAAAAAATTCAATTCTATCTGGAAATTGTCTCCAATTAGTTCGTATTAGAGGGCCACAAGTTTATTAGTCCTTAAAAATGTCTATTGTCACCCTCTCTAAATGAGATAAGACAGTTATTATTATTATTATTATTATTATTATTATTATTATTATTAAATTTTATTTATTATTATTATTATTGTCTGATGTGGTTTAATATAAATTTATTAAGTTTTCTTGTATTTACATGTACTAATGTAGGTGCAAGACTCCCAAAAGATTATAGTGGGTCGAGACCTGCAAGGAGTCGAGGTATTTTTATCATTTACTATTAAGTTAGAATATTAAAGGTAAAGTCATGAAGAAGCATAGCGTAGTATTTGTTCCTCTAAGTTTGTTTTTGTTCATGTAAAACCTGGAAAGCGCCAAAAATTAATAGTATTGCACAGTATTTTTGTAAAATTTATGGTTTCAAAAGGTTTTTTTGTCAACATTTTTTGTCTTGCAGAAAATCCTGAATATTATGCGATACAAGATGGGAAACAATCCGGTATGACTCTCTCCTAAAAATGTTGTAGACTTTGTCTCACAATATTTTATTCAGTGGTTTTTTAAAAACTTACGGCTTTTTCATGACCCATGAATCACCAGGGAATACTGAAGTTTTTGGTTATTCTTTTAGGCGTCTGGTGGTGTTCTTGAATGCTGTTGGAGTGCATTGTGGAATGTTACAGGTAAAAATAACGCTTTGTCAGGACAGAAAAATCTGACGATTTATGAAGTTAAGGAAACTGTTACATTTATTTCTCCTATTGTTTGCAGATGAAACTCCAGAAAACTGCGCGTTGTTCCTTTCTAACCGTGGTTTAGAGCTCTTTATGCGGTGTAATAAAGTGAGTAGTAACAATTACTTACGAGAAGTATCTTCTCGTTCAGTAGTACACACGTTTATGAACGTGAAGGGCTGTACTTTTGGCCTCACATTTCCCGATTTCGGACGAATTTCAACCCTGGCTTGGTTTCTTTTGTGTAATATTGTAAAATATTATGCACTGTGTTCATTTTTTTTTCTTTACCTTGTTCTTGGTAAGCACTTATATTTCAAACGTTTTTATTACTCAACTTATTTGTATTTCCTTTTTCAAGAATTCTTGTCTCTTTTTAGCGGCTCGTAAGTTCCCTTATCTCCGCGCCATTTTCTCCCACTTTTTGACTTGTTACCAAGCCCCATCTCTACTGCAACATTCAAGCCTACCGAATATTCCTTTTTCATTAGTATTCAAAGCACGGTTGCTTTTCCTTTCTTTAACAGGAATTGAGTGATCAGCGGGATTTAGTGCGAAACATGTTGGGACTCATGGTAAGCTGTTACAAGCAAACATCACTGGAATTGCGATTCTGATATAAAATGGCGGGAAAAAACGGCGCCATTGGATAACAGTATGAAGGAGTTTTGTTTGTCCTTACAAAGTTGCTCAAGTTTCACTTAAGCCTGGGTCAGTTGTCAAAGTTCACTTGTGCCGAACCTAACCCTAACGAGTCATCAGCATTAGTTTCGGCACATAGGAATTCGACGGCGTATATCCTCAAATCTCTTCGTCAACGCTTGTTGTACTACGACTGCTTTTTCATCGCTAACTTAGCCTGCGAACAGGCTTCCGATCATCTCCCTACAGACAGCCTGTTGACACGGACTACTTAACCTCGTCCTGGAAAAACGGAGTTGAAAAAAAAGCTGCATACTCTCTTGCTTTTTGCATGTATTGAACTATCTATTCGTTGTTTAACTCTTAGTTTTATGTCCGCCACGTAATAGTTTCCTCGCGTGTTTGTTCTTGATGCCCTTCAACCACAAGAAGCTAAGTCCTAGTACTCGTCGTTGATTCAAAAACTCTAGATTGTTGTATATGAAGATCTAGTTTTTTGAACTGATTGTCTTGTTTGTTTGGTCGGTTGTTTATGTTTCTTTTTGTTTTGTTTTTAGGGTAACGTGGCGGAAGTCCCTGAATTGAGGCCTCAGCTTATGACGTTGGCTCACGTGTTCTAGTAGGTTCATTTTGCTGCTTAAAACAGCTGTGTCATGACTTTTATTAAAATTCAAACAGTGAAGACCGCCATCAAACTGAGAGAAACATTTTTAATAACTGCTCAAAACATGCAAAGACCGTATAAATAATACAAAAAATACAAAAGGAGGCCTAAATGGACAAACCTGAAGAAGATTGAAAAGGATTACAACTGTGGTTTTTGATAACTTGTTAACCGAACAGTTTTTCAAAGTTCATTTTTGTTGTTTGAAACGTTTGATATTATGGAGACATATTTGTTTGACTCTGAATTTTAATTTTGCCATTCACAAGTAATTTCTCAGGTTTCATAGCGAAAAAGGAGGACAAATAATTGGCGTTATCAACAAAATGAACTAGACAACCGTGTCATGGCGCCTTTTAAGCTTGCCTTCATTTTTAATGCAGAGCTTTTTTGTGATTGGCTAATACTGAGTAATTTGGTGCTTTTTCCAGTGATTTGTTACTGATTAACAATCCAAGTGAACTGGAAGTGACTTACAATGCTGGTGGTATCATCAGTCATCTGGCATTTGACGGGCCAGACTGCTGGACAAACACTGTAGTGACACGCGAAGAGGCGCTTCGAAGTCTGGTAAGCTGTGCTGAGTGGCTCATTTGATAAACTGGTAAACTGTACAGCGTGGTAAAGCACGCATAACAGCCTTGTTCCCAGGGTCCTCTCCTAATCGGCCCCCGGGGCTCTAACCGGGGCTCCAGTCACTGGAAACGAAGTTGCACGTATCAGTGGAAGTCCAGGCAAATTCAGCTGCGATGGCAGGGCGGACACCCCAGAATGAATGGCTTAATAAGCAAAAACGTATACATGCATAATGTACACTGTCTATCCGACTAACGAGCACCAGGCGTGCACGTGATAAAAACATGCCACTACTACAATGCGCAGTGAAAAAAAGCACACACACAAAGCAAACACGTAATTGGTAGTGGTTATATTCTGTGAATTTTGCGGAAGTTGTTGGTGTTGTTTTTAGTGTCTGTGCCAGCTAGAAAAGAATTCTGGTGTTTATGTAAGTATCATTTTGAGTCAGGGTGCGAAAGTGTATTGTATCTCTTTTTGTTTCGTGAGGGCCTTACTTCTGATTAGATAGTGGTAAACTGGAATTATAACAACAACGAAAATGAAAACTTCAAAGTAAAGAAGATCATCGAATATTATAGACGCAACTTTTGCAGTTGCGAAGAGAAAACCTGACAAAAATGGGGCGTGTACGGAATTAGGCCTCTTGAGCACTCCGATGTCGGTGCTGAGCTGGCCATTTAGTTGGTTTGTCCCGCAGTTCTAACATATGATTTTCACATATTCATTATTTCAAAAATGCAAAAATAGCAAATTAATAAAAGTAGAGATTAATCCTAGAAAACAAGTGATTAGTCAAACATGATTAGAGCTTGTAAGTACAAACGGGGTGTCTGTTTAAGCGGGGTGTCCGCGAGGCGAGAATTGACTGTACAGTAATTTCCTAAACTTTTATTGATTTACTCGCTTTTTTTAGGAGGAGATCATTGAGACTTGGGACATACGAGCGCGACGTCAGATGAGTTATCGGTAAGATACTTTCCGAACTGTAAAAGCGTGGCATAATTATCCCAGGTGCTGGGTTGTCTGCAAAATCTCAGCGCGTATAAATTTGGTTTAATTTTCAGTTGGTATCCTTAAGTCTGACTTTTGTGTTTGCTGAAATCACTTTGCGAGAAAGGGCAAGGAAATAGAGAGAACTTTTTAGTCTCCTTGCTGCACATGTAGTTTAAAGAGTTTTAGACCGCTTATACATAACTTCAAGTGGCAGTTGCAGGACTTTCAAGCAACGCTGTACGCGTTGGACACTTGCCAATTCTGTTACTCTTGGACAAACCAATGAACCAATCAGAGCTCGAAAAAATGATCGTGCGGAGGGCGTCAAGTGTGAGAAAGCACTTGAGATTGAGTCACGTTTGATTTTGGTGTGACGTTTCATTAACCAATCAAATGTCACAAAAAGGTAGGGAAGCTTTCTAGATAACCAATCAGAAAGTTTAATGATGAAAATCTGGTTCAAGCGGAAGTGAGTTCACACCGGACTTTTCACTGAAAAGTCCAGTGTGAGCCCACCTAATGTGACTTCGATAGTCGCAAGAAGTAGTCATCGCTCCTACACACGGTGTGATTCTAAACGTGCGGTTCAAAGGATAACTGTCGTTATGATTACACATGGCTCACTTTTCTTAGCTTCAACAGGGTCGAGCTGAAACTATCCCTTGATTTCCTTTTTTTTCTTCCAGCTCTTTTGCTCCAATATTGAGGTTGATATCCGGATGTGGCGTAACCGCTATTCACCATTGGGCTACGTGGGCATTGGCTAACCTGTGCAATGTTGATGGTAAGTACATCTGGTGGCTTAAGCGTTGTAGTAGACGGTGTGGCAGATTCAATATTCATTATTTTAGATTCAAAGAGGAGGACGACTACGAGGATTAGATTTAACTTAAAGTTTTTTTTAGCGTATTCTCGATAAACAGATACTCCGGAAAGCTTCACTTAAGTTTTTCACCAGAAAAGTTAACACGGGTATTTTTGTGAAAGGGTGAAAGGTTTGAACCCAGCAGTCATTTCAAAAGTAGGTTGAGTTTGATCGTCCGGGTGAACGTAGTCCTGAATAGGACTGTTGTTGACAGTGAGTGACGTTTCGACAACCTGTGCGATAGTTATCTTCAGGGTATTTTTATTGGAGGAGGTTTTTAAAATCCCTCTCTCGGTCGCTAAGTGATAAAACTTCTAACATTTGATAACTTGATTCCGTCACTACGACATTTTCGCTAAAACTCGTGGTAGATCGAATGACGACGGCTACCATGTTTTCCCGCCAAAATGACGCTGGCTCACGCGCGCACTACCCAGTATTGAGAAAATCTCGTTCTATTAGTCGTCCTCGTCTTCGAATCTAAAGATCTCTAATGTGAATCCAACAGGAAAAAAATGCTGGCATTGAAAACCAGCGCTGAGAGAAAAATATAGTGAAAGGCGTGTCCTGGTACAAGCTTCTTCGACGTTTCCAATAATTTAACGTTGCTTGAAGCGAGAGGAAGGGGTTGATGGTGTACACATATATTTCTAAGTATGAGATCGCAGCTGTACATTTACGTCGTTTTTGTACTTTTTTTTTTCAGCTGAGAAATACTGCAAACTTGTTCGTGACGAAGGCGGCATGGAGCTATTACAGGGTCTCACCGCAAATCCAAACACGTCTCAGCGAGTCAGGGAGCTGTCCCAGATGACCCTAGACAAGTGCTACAATAATCTTGAACATCTGGAAAATAGCGCTCAACAAACAACATACAATAGTCAACTCAACTCAACTCAACAATAGCTTAATCGATTAAAAGCTCTCGTGAGGCACATAGAGAACGTCTTATCGAAAACATCGTTTGCCTTTTAACTGAAGATCGATCAAATTTCCGCTGCTATGAAAAACACATTGTGTGTGTCTCACGATAGATCGACTAAACTTAGTCTTTTCGGTAATTCGCTCCTTATAAACGAACAAGTGCGAACCTCTCAAAAAAAATTTAGTTAGGGTCGTGGGTGAGTCTTAGGCAGAAACTGCCTCCTAACCAGGCTACGAAAGAGAAGAGAGAATAGGGAAACCAAAGTTTAAAAAGGCGGAGGGGATCGGGGCTCTGCGTTCGCCAACTTTCACTCTGAAGGCTCGAACTCAGTCTACGCGATGATGTAATCGTTGAAAGAAAATGGGACCTGGGAGCGAGGCAGTGAGGTCATCAATTAGTAGATTAAGTTATCAATATATTTGGCGCGTTAGGTTTTGTAAATATTTTGTATGCACAGTACAGACATAACATTATGATATTTTGTAAACCTTAATGATCCCGTTTGACGGAAATTGTGCTGCTTTTTGTTGATGTCGAAATTGAGCGTTGTAAATAAGGCCTATGTTGCAGGACGCACGCGCGGGGAGACCTCTCTCCTCGCGTGTGTCCTCTTCTCTCGGATGCCCTTTTTTTCTTTTAAAGGTTTTAATACGGGTATGAAGTTGGTGTCCTTGGGACAAACAGAACCGTGCGTAATAGAGAGGTTTCCATATTATAGAGATGCGCTTAAGTAAAGGTTCAACTGTATTGTACTGTGTTGCAAAAAATAAAATAAAGAACGCTTGCTTTGCAAATCTTAGCTGTCGCTTTTGTTGTGCGTATCATAAGATGCGAGGCAAGTGATGGTAATTTGTTTGGCTACGAAAACTCCTAAAAAAGGCTGATCGAAAGGCTATCCAAAAAGGATACTGTGGGTTCGACCAAAGGACTTTATCGGTTAGTTCAGTTTGCTGTTTTCAAAAGGGATGATTTTGTTACCAGCGAAGCACCACCCATCTTGGTTTCCCGTGGGTTGCAACCTCTTCCCTGGGGCTTTTCCCTTAGGAAATATGGTGGGCCCCTCCCATTTCCTAAGGAGGGAAAAGGACTGGGGACGAGGTTGCGTAGGATGTAGAGGTTTTTCATGTCAGTTTGCAAGTATTCTTGTTTGTCGTTGGAACAGGAACCTAAAAGTTAGTTCTGATCTGTCTCTGGAAGAAAACGTTTTGGCGTGAGGCGGCATTCTTCGGTGGGCCTCTTCGGTGTCGACTACAGGCCGACAAAACTTCCTACTTCCGCCGCAGGTCGAAGCTTGACCGAAACCGGAAACCGCGCATGAAAGTCTCTGGCAGCCAGGGTAACTGATTCTTTGTTCACATGCAAATGAAATCAGCTTTCACAATAAAGGTTCCGCACTTGATATAGTTTCGAAAGTGAAATTACCTATTTGCATCACAGTAGAGCCCTGCCTTACACAATTTATCCAACGCCTTTCTTTCATTAGAAGAAGAGAAAAAGTGAAAGAAGCTGGTCCCATGTGTCTCGCTGTTTGACCGCCAGAAGCATTCTCCATTCCTCCTGTCTTACTTAGCCGGCGGGCAGAGAACTCTAGAGGTACGAAAATGTGCGGAAAGCAGTTTCGTATGACTGACCGCATTATCGCTGTCATGTGATTTTCAATGCTGACTGCGCCCGTACTGATTTGTAATAGAAGCCTGGAGGTGACTTCGTGCCCAGGCTCCAGCAGCGTTACGATTTGGTGCTGATTTGAGGACCATTTGACCACAAAAGGTGGATAGTGCCAGTCCACCGGATAAAGCATTATCCAGCCGAATAAATTGTTATTTTCCTGATACTAATCCACTGGATAGTAATTTATCCACTTAGCAGTTTGAACAACTTTTGCCCTGCTTACCCAGAACGTATTAGTGTACAGAATCAAATCAAATTACATTCTGTCAGAATTAAACATCGCTAAGTCTGAAAGCACCGAGAAGCGTAAGGAAGGATGGCAGAAGAGCTTACATGAACAGACCAAGGGAGGATAAACAGACTTAAACAGCTAGATAAGTCCCTGTGGGTCATCTGTAACTGAAGACGCTTTTTACTAAAGTTAAGTTGCTACTCCAAGTGCTAGCTTGCCTTTTAGCCTTGTTTATTGCTATTCTTAAAGGCCAGTGAAGAAAAGCTAAAACCAGGGATACGTTCTCCATTTTAAGCATAGATAAACAACCGTAATTGTTATAGTTCAAGTCCACGTTTCTTGTCCTCCTCCTACAGAGTGGAGGTACGTGTTCATGAAAACTTAACAATTCAACGTCAACACCGTAATTTTCAAGGAGTTACAATAACTCCTCTAGTGGGGTTAATGTAACTCCTTACAGTGGAGTTTTTTTGGGCGGGGGAGAAGGAGTTATTTTAACTCCAGAAACAGGGAGTTTAAAGAACTCTTTTTCAGGAGTAAAAATCACCCCAGATATTGAGGAGTTAAAATAACCCCAATAAAGGTGTTATGGCTGTACCTAAAATTTTTACTCCACTTTCTGAGTTGAAGTAACTCTAAAAACAACCCATGTAAGGAGTAAAATTAACCCCATTTCGGAGTTATTTTAACTCCAGACTGGAAGTTAAAAAAACTCTTTTTCAGGAGTGAAAAATTACTGTGCATTCTAACTTGCCACGGGTTTGCTGTATGTTTGATAGGGACTCGGGAGAGTTTAAACGCTCACCCCACCTCCTCCTCCCCTCCTCTTCAATCTTGACCCATTGGTGTCCAGGCCCCTTTTGGAACCAATTCTTTCCCTGAACGTCACTTGTTGAAAGATTGTGTGCACGCATGGGGGAGCACTTCCAATCTGTGCACAGTCAACAAAGAAAACGACGCTTTTAAGGCTTGTCAAGGCAGAAAAATGCGACGTATGTTCAAAGAAGAGTTTGTGCGATTTCAGGGGGATTCAACAAAAAATATCTGCAACGAAAAGCTATTGATGCTACAAGTTTCGACTGTTGAAACTCCAATATCGACCAGTTTTGTGGGATAAAATGACCGTCAAACAAAATTCCAGAACGAACGGAAGTTTGCGTAGCCGTCAAATGGGGAGTTTAGAAAATGAAATTACTGCTTCTAGGAAAAAGGGGGTACCGGGAACCTTTATCATGGAAATTTGACAACACCTTGACAGCGAGAAGACAAATCTGCCCCCATATTAGTCACTGCGTCCTGGTATACTTAAAGAGTACAACATACGAGACTAATTCAAGCAGGGCAGTATTGCTTCGAAAGTGTGCGCCGGATCGAGCCAGATCCAAGGAAAGCAGCTTTGAAGGAATCCGCTTTTCAGGTAACAGTTCAATGGCTTAGCATAAGATGTTAGTGTCAAGCTTATTTTCATTATTGTGAATTAAATGGGTGCAGCACTAGGATGGCATTGTTGAGAGTAGCCTGTAAAGGATTCGGCAATCTTTACGGCTACGGGCACCAGTTAGGTCATCTTCATATACGACATCAATTAATTTCAGTCCTGAACGGCAGTCCCTAGAAATTTCCACTGTTTACCCTTGATACTTTTTCCTTTTAGTATTTCGAAAGCGAATTTAGTTCTTGTAGAGGTACATTAGAGATTATCAACTGAGATTATCTGTACGGGGAGACTGTTGACTGTTGCTTTTGCTAACTCCTCAATTCCACTGAAAATGCCTCTTGCCAAAATCAATAATATCTTTAGGATATTCGCAAAAAGGACAATGTAGCAATAATGTACAATAAACCAAGAAATTTTTAGAGCTAGATAATGGATCATGGATCTGAAATATAGCCGGCTTTAACAGTGGGAGTCGATGAAGCAGCAATGAGCGAGGGGTGATCCTTGGTTCTTTTATTAGAGGTTTTGATAGATCGTATGGAGGATAGCTTTAATTTCAGTATGCAAAACCAAAAGGCTCATGCTGAAGAAAGTAATTCAAAGTCGATCGCTGATGAGAGTCCTACGGATCACATTCCCGTGGCATGGAGAAATGATCATGAATACTTGTCCGGGAGAACTTATGATATTTGACGAATTCACTGCATCCCTAGATTTTACAGTTCCTCATACAACGTGTTTACGCTTATTAAATGCCGTCATCACCAATAGTACCAGCGCTTGTAAAATATAGCAAAAGCGCCATGATTCGAACATCAAGCCTGAACTGATCACACTTATGGATGCTCTCAGTTTTAAAAAATAGGTCTCCTATTAATATAAGCAAACTGAGCAGATTAGAGATGACTATTTATTCCAGTGTACTGCACACACACGCTTAGACTGTTGAGACATAACTAAATAAAATACAACTTCTTCTCATATGTGAAACCTGCGCTCATCATAGCCACTGCATAAGAAATAGAAGAAAAGTCTTTCTTTGCAATGGGCTGTTTATAGCAACCACTGAGGAAAAAAATCTGTGTCTACTAAAAATATTGAGATTACGATGTAATTTTGCTGAATTGTCAGTTTCAGTTTGGCATTCCCATTCCGAATCATTTTGTTTTCATGTCAGCATTTTTTCATGAACCACTGTCAGCATTTTTTCAGCCACAAAGTGGTTATGACTAGAGAGAATGATCTCATTCTCTCTTGGTTATTACTATTCATTATAGTTCTTGAAAATCCATGCATGACATTTCACGTTTTTCTTGGTAGAACTGAGCTGTAACTGCAAACGTTTTAAAAATGTTCTACAGCATTATAAAACTGAAAAAATGCTTCATACTTCTCGAATTGACTTGCTTTTGCTTTCCATTGCATATTTGTACGATATTTTTGAAGTTATCTTTTCGGTCTAAATTATGTTAAATAGTAATACCGAATCAAAGATCATGCATTTAGTATCTTGCTTACCGCCATCTCCGGTCTATAGCTGTTTAATAGCCATCCTTTTTCGTCTACAGGAAAAGACTTATGACCATGCGGTCGAAAGGTTTACCATGTGAAAAGACCCTCTTCCAAATTGTTTTCGTATTAGTAATGTTATGCTCTGTTGTAGGAAAATTTTCCGCTTCCCACGTAGACCACATTGTCATTGTTAACCAAACTTGCTGTCAACTGAATGTAATGCATAAAAATAACGATTTAATAATTTTATAGAAATTTTGAAAGCAGACTAAATGTGAAACTTTTTCTTTTTAATGAAAAAATATATAAAAATCCGTCTTTTAGTTCATTACGGGGGTAAAGAACATTCGGACACATTGTCAATAAAACATCCCTGGGAAAGAAGAGGGTATAAAACCCGGGTGAATCAAAGGGGGCCCTTGTTCTCTTCTTAATTTATCGATGATTTCTCCTAAAGGCTTTGGCCCTGAAGTCCATGTGAATCTCTCCAAGTTAAGTTTTTTTTTAAAGGGATTGCCTGCCTACGCCGCAAAAGTTACTTTAAGTTGCTGACACTTTTCTATTCACGCGATTACACATATGTACAGGGTCTTGCCATTTTGTTATATAAC